ACCAAACACGTACAGCTATCGCTATTGCTACCCAACACGTTGTAGAGCAACAGTTCAACGGACAGAGTCCTTCGAGTTCTTTCTCCGCGCGGAGACATAAAGAGTGCATTTTTTTGTACACACACAACAGCTATGAAATATATAATTATACAAAGAAAAACAAAACTGACACAAAGGGGTGTTTCCGGGTTACTACTACGCGCACGATAAGTTAAATACTATTTACTTGATTGTTTATAATGTGGTCGTCGACGTTTACTGTTTCCAAAACATGGTCTGGTGTTTGTTTAGAGCGCTATGTTGCTTATGCAGCTACCGTGATTTGTGTAGCCGCGCGTCACATTCGGATTATTTTTATGACGACGACGACGACTACGAATACGAAAACTTTGATTATAAACGTAATACAAAACTTGTGAATATGAAACACTCCGCTATTTCAGCTACAGCGGACCTAATAAACGCGAAAAAGCTGCTGCACAAACACGGTCCCGAATCGGGATTACTAATGTACCACGATCGCTACAAAAACTCTGCTGAAAAAGCTTACGATCGTTTAGCGGCGGTCGCGAGGGATACGCGGTTTTTCAATAAAACCAACCGGTCCCCGTACACGCGGGGAGATATAATTGTGTGATCCCCTTTTTATATATATAAAAAAATCTACATTTTTTTCGGGACTCAATTTATCGGTTTATCACGATGGACCCCGTGCGAATGGATCCGACCTCTTATCACCTCAAGTCGGTGGCGAGCATCCGCCAGTTGATTCAAACTCCCGATTTATTACTCGGTTACAAGGAAGCGTTTGCGAAATACCTGGCTGAAAAAATCATCAGGAGCTCGGCCACAAACAGCTCGATTTCAATCGACGTGACGATGTCCGTCTCGCAAGCTCACATGGGTATAGCTTTGTTTGCGCAGCAGCGAGACACCAGTAGATTACTGGCGGCTTTCGTGTACAAAACCATGATACCGGGAGACGGCATCAAGGTACCGCTGGGTACGAAATACAAACGAAAATATAGAATCACCGATCAGAGAGAAGCGCAGCAGGGCACGTACGACACGATAACGAACGGGGTGCAAACGCGAGACTACGAGCAGGTGTATTCTCCGATTTCCCGCGTTGTGACGATGCAATTCGGGTGCCTGTTGGGCGTTGCGGTACAATCGCAAGCCGAAGAGTTGATTGCGCGCGAGCTAGACAGAGTCAGCACCACGTGGGAACTGACGAAAASCATCGACGTTTTGCGCTACTGCGCGGCTCAGCCCACTCTCGTAGACAGGATCGTTCGCGTGACAAAGAACGCAAGCAGGGCAGATCGTCTCGATTGCGTTCTRGTCGTGTCGGAGCTGCTGTGCGGTATGGTGAACATACAACCCGATTCGTTCCCCGTCGCCATCGAGAACGCGCGGAGGGTTCTGGCCAGCGACAGACCAGAGGTCTTGGTCGTAGGCGCCAGTCTCTTTCAGATTATATCGAGCAAGGGCATGGGCGTGTGCGACATAACGCAGGAACRACAACCGTTCCGTCACGAGTACGTCACGTACTCGTTGACGGGGGAAACCGCAAACCCGGACGGCGGTCACATGTACACGYTGCACGAGACGAACGGCGCCTCCGCCGGTCTGGGAAGCGACATGTTTGGTCAAGAGACGACGCTCGGCGACAAGAATCTTCTCCGTGTCAACCACATACTGCTAGGCGGCGGGCAGATGAGTAAACTACCAATCGTCCACGTGGACAACGTACAAATGGAGCATAACATGTCGCACGATACATCCACCGAACACAAGGCTTTCAGCAACACCGAGGGTTTCAAGTGGGAGTATTTCACCGTGGGTTGTAGCGCGCCGGCGTTAAACCAAGTCAACCCGATCCAGCTGCTGGCGACGACCGAACACGACGAGCTGAACTACAAACACGTGGCCAAACGGTCACCGAGYAYGTCGTTTCTACACAACAAGGAAGGCCAGACGGTATCCGTGTCCGTTCGCAATTTACACGCGCAAGGTAGTTGCGCCGATTTGTTTTCGAACGAGCGTAGGCGCGAGATTCAGCAACTGCTCGATAGAGTGATCCGGGCGAGCGACCAGACGGTGACTCGAGAGATTATGGTCGAGCTGGCATACCGGCGCCACTGGAACGATAAAATAAACAATCCCGCGAGTCTGTTGGAATTTGACGCGAGGAATATGGTGACGCCCGACACGAGCGCCGGTGACCTCAATTGGACGGTAAAGCCGAGATTCGTGTTGTACAACGCGTCCTCCATGAACAGCATCGAAAACGAACTCGCGCAAACGGGMAGCGAGCTGTTGTCTTTATTCGTAGGAAACGGTTTGACCGAAGAGCTTCGAGAATTTATCTCGTTCATAGAAAAGGGCCTCTCGATATCGAACGGTCACAAGGATTTACTCGAGGCTCGCGAGAAAATAATGAATGATAACAACCTGAACGATATTATCGCGGACGGGTGGATGACCGGTCGAAAACACTGGCTGCTGCTGTCGGACCCGGTGTGCGCCGTTGGTATAAGAAGGCTGTTGTCACAAAAGGAGGTTGCTCCAAACTCAACGATGACTGCCGACGAACGCGGTTTACTTGTTCGTTTGGAACACGCTATAACCCGGATTCTGTATCTGATTGGTGAAATTTCDGGCGATTTGCGTAATTCCGTGTTTGGTTACATGCACATGTTTTGCGAATATGCGAACGGAGTCCGTGACAACGGTTACCCCGCAAATTTTAGTTTCGAGGAAGTTTTGTATTGTAATTTCATGTACTGGGCGCTCCTTCCCGCGCTTGGTGCTAAACCGTACATAATAGGCTTGGATATAAATAACTTACCAGCGGCYGCTACGTCTAAAGAGTTACAATTCCCTCGCGATTCTATTATCAATTTAGAGAACGAGCTGGGAGCGTTGGAGTTGGGGGAGAAACCTCACGTCGGCATAATACCTCGTAAAGATTGCGTGTTTTCAAAGGTTAAACCTCTCAGTGATTGCGCGGACGCTTCTTTGATATTTCGACCAACGGCCCCGGCCGATTCAGAGTCCGGTTTCGCGAAAGAAGAGCTCGTGACGTACATGTGGACCGTGAGATTGAAATATATTGGCGCGCTGACGAATAAAATTGCCGCGTTGCTCATGTGCGCGCACTACGGAACCTGGCTGTTGCCCAGCGTGGTTCAGAAATACTACGATACAAAGTACCACTCGGGACTGTCGTATCTGATGTTCAGAGGTATCAGGTTCACCGGCTCTGGAGTTTCGCTGATGCAACAGAAGGCCACGTTGTACACGCTGGGGACGGGTATGACRTGCGCGCCCACGGGCAGCAACACCCATCAAGTGCACACCATCAACCAGTGTTGCGAATCGGTCGTGATGCCCGAGACGTTGAACTCGCCCGGTTTGTACATACCCAATATTTACATGAAGGACGTTGTGGGTTTCGAAGTGAACGTGAACACCAACGATCCTTTAGACATGGTTATCGCCGATGCGTTTAACGGATTCTGCCCGGAGTCGGACACCGCCAGCGGATTTCGAAGACCATACGTTTTTACAACGGGTCGCTCGAGCGCCTTAACGTGGCCGCCCGAGCGAGACGAGCTAATGAAAACTCCAGCCTACTGCAGTATCCCCACCTTGCTCAGATCGTTTGGCGCGGTGTATTACAACCGGAGACCGACGAGGAGGAGCGTGTACGGTAACCGGACTGAGAGTAACCTGGCGCTGTTTCAACAGACGCAATACGTGGTCGACTTAGACCGGGCTCTAGATCGCATCGGCGACCCTTTCAAGGACACGGTGGAGCGCGTGAACGGCAACGCTAGAACCACGGACATTATGAGCAAAGAGTTAGGCGTGGCGTTTTGCGGTACTTACGGCGTGGGGATGACCTCGGACCACACGCTAATGCGCGGCTGCCTGGCAGAAAAGGAAACGTTGGTTGACAGACTCGCTCCGCGAATCAGCGGGACRGGGTTATTTGCCCGTACACCCATCGACGCCACGTATCGCGTYGTCACGCCGATTTTCGAGCGCCTTTTTGTAAACAACGCTTATTATCGCAYGCTGGCCACGTAACCGTGCGCGCGTTACGCGCGCAGTTGCGATGTGGAGACACGCGGGTATTTGTAAAACCGTCGACAATTTGGTAAACGCGCTGTGCTGCTTGACGGACATCGTGCTTTCGTGTTACGTGAGTTTCTTTGTTACGCTCTTCATGCACTCCCTGGAGCCGAACCATCAGCTGAAGCTCATGAAGAAGCAGAGGGACGCCGAAATGGA